TACCATCCTTGGACTCAGGGTCAAGGAGAGGAAAAAATTTAAAATTGTTGGATTGGTTAATAGGTTAGATGTTTATACTTCAAGAAAGTAACCATCATAAAATGTCAATAGTAGAGTTAGTGTACAACATCAATTAATATTTAAATGTCCAAGCAGAGCCATGGAGGCATTTGAATAGGACATGCGTGATGCTAGTATGTTTAACTATCATGAACATGGATAGATCTACACATCAGTTAAACTTTACATGAGTACACAAGAGGTTGAATGTCGTACTTAATAAGAAAATAAGATATGAAGACCAGTTATCGGTTGGGTTGGGATGACCCTAAAATGTCACCATGGAAAGGAGTGGTGCATTTCAGTAAACATGGAAAGTTAAGTCCAAGATATGTAGGACCATTCGAGATGATATCAAGGGTAGAAAAGGTGGCATATTGTTTGAAGTTTCCTGAAGAATTACAGGGGATTTATTACGCATTCCATGTGTCAATTATGAGAAAAGGTCTAGTTGACGAATTAGCAACTTTGACTTTAAAAAAATGTTGAAATAAAAAAAAAACAATGGAGGTGGGACTCGTAATTGTTCGACAGAGATTGATTTCGGGGACGAAATCCTTTTTTAGTGGAGGAGAGTTGTAACACCCTAAAAATTTATGATTCGTAAAATAAATAAATGTTAAGGGTTAAAATTTAAATAGTAATGACATACGGGATTAAAGTGTCGATACTCGAAAAATATGATTTTATTGTAATAAATAAAATCAATAAAAAGGGAAATGAAACATTTTGTATTTAATTGATTTGAGATGAAAATGAAGAAAGAAAAACAGAAGAGACTAGTTTTGCCAAAAGTAGAAAACTAATTTGGAAATGATTGAAATTTGGGAAATCATTCCCCAAATCACGTTTTTACTATTCTAGAGATTGTTTGACGCCCTATAAATTGGAGTTTTTGGCTGGAATTTTGTGGAGACATTCCTAAGGATGTAAGGGAGTAAACGTCTTTGAAATTTCGAGATTTCATCAAGAAACGAGAGAGATATCGAGTTTGAAGCGGCATAGGGCCATTCCGCACAAAAACAACGATTGGAGGTAAAATACTCAACCAAAATTGATGTATAATATATGGTTGGTTTCGTTTTTCAATTATCTTTCTGTTGGTACAAGTCTCGTGGGCTATGGTGGCTTGTACGTCGAGCGGTTTAGGCTAGAAGCTGTTGTGGCGGCGGCTCAACGAGATTCGGGTACAAAAACTCAAAATACGAGTTTAATATTGAACCGTAGGGGCTGTAAATTTGGATACGATTTGGGATTAATATTGTATATAAGATTTTGTTGAAAAGAGATTTGAGACTCGTTTATTTACTTGGATTAATCGAAATAAATCGGGATATTTCGATTAAGTTGGTCAAGATTTGGACATCAATTTTAAAAGTTATTAATTAATTGGAGTTTCATATTTAAATTATAAGAAATAATTTAATAACTTATTTCGGGAGTTGTGACTAGATAATTGTGGGATCAGACATTTTTATAACGAGAATCGTATATAATTAAATGTTGGGTTTAATACGTCGTAATTTATTTCGGATGTGAAAAGAATTCAATTGGGGATGGGGTATATGGCGACGAGGTATGCTTGGGGTTGACCCGTTGACCATTCTTACCCTAAAGTTGACCTATTTGACTTTCGGGTTGACTTTTTGAGGAAATATCAATACTTTAATTATTGAAATATAATTACATGTTATAGGATATTACTCAGGGACGAGGTTTAGCCAAACAGAGCTATTTAGGTGAGTCTTCATTAAACTTTAACTGGGATGCATGCTTATGTACAAATTATTTTAGCATTACAATATTTTTTTTATGTACATGTTTATGGGTTTATTACATGTATATGAATTATTATTGTGGGTTGCATGCTATTTGTTTACATGTTTTCTTTTAAAAACATCAATTAGCAAGTTATAAAAGAATTTATATTTTTGTTGGGTATGGGAAGGGGTCAAAAGTCATAAGGGATGGCACATCCTAGGGAGGGGTAACCGGACAAGGGCTAGCCATGTAACCCGGGGAAGTGCCGATGACGGTAAGACCTTAACCCGACGGGAAATTAAGAGATCTCATTATTATTTCAAAAAGGTTTGAAACAAATGTGCATATTATTTTATTTGGGGCATTGTTTGTTTTATGCATGATGAGGTGTGTATGATTGTGCACAAAAAACCATGAACTCACCGAGCTTTATAAAGCTGACTATTAGTATGCATTTCAGGTGCAAGAGGTTCAAGGGTGGACAAGAGCGAGGTTCTCTCCTAGATATTTATATTATTGTTATATTTCGGATGTTTAGGTTTATGCTTAAACTCATTTTGTAATGTAACCCGATATTGGACGAGTTAGCATTGAGTTATTAATTTTAATTGAATTTGAAAGACTTCGCTGTAGTATGGATTTATTAGCCGCTATATTTTGAGGTTATTTATTGTTACTTAATGAGAATTACGTGACACAACTTATGGTGAAAATGAGGGTGTTACACTTTTATCGACGACTTAGCAACGGATACTTTTAGCGACAAATTAGCGAGGGACTTCTTTTAGCGACATATTAGCGATGGATTAACGAGGGACTTCTTTCAGCGAAGAATGAGCAAGAGAAATCTTTCAGCAACGGATACCGACAAATTCTTCTAGCAACGAAATAGTGAGTGACTTTTAATACGACGGATTAGCGAGGGACCAGAAACTTTTAGTGTTGGATTTTTCGTCGCTAAATTTTAATAATTCAAAAATAAATAATTTATAATTACATAATTCCTATATTTATATATACAAAACCTGACCATAAAATAACAGACCAAAACTATCAACAAATTAAAAGTAGTCATACAATTTAAAATATTCAATTCATAGAATTTAATTTTCAAATTCATATAATCTAATTACCGGGAGGTGGAGGTGGGGGAGGGGGAGAAAACGTATCATGATTGCCGTATAAACGCAACAAAATGCTCCGATAATACGATTTGTTCGACTAACTGGACAGCATGCCTGGCCTATTCTGCCTCCAAATCTGCCTTACTCTTCCGTTCGGCCTCCATCTCGTCCTGATGGCGTTCCTTCCGCAGTCGCGCCTCCTCCTCTACCCTTGTCAACTTCCCACTCAACTCCGCTATCTGTAAATATTCATTATTCGACAAAATTATTAATTTGTTTGCAATGAAAGTAAGGAAAAAATATATAACAATATAACTAGCATACCTCCGTTGTTGATCCAATATCGTTTGATCTCTCGGTGCTACTGCTACATCTACCAGCCATAATATAAGAGGGATCTTGGGAGGTTCCAAAACCAAAAAGACGGGCCTTCTTCAGAGGGAGGTGTTTCGGTACTAGACTATGACTCATCCCTACACGATTGAAATCTCTCCTATGGTTCACCAAAACAAAAATGGGTGAGATTATATATGTAGAAATTTCAATAGAATAACGACTGTAGATGAACATATACAATGCATGTTTTTAACAATTAAAGTATTCTAATTATCAATGATAGTCAGATTCTCAACCTATCTACTTAGTCTAACGTCTGCCCAACAATGACAACCCAAACTAATAACATTATTATGGTTATTACAATATATTACTTTAAATCTATCAAACGTATCTATAAATCAAAGTAATGGTTTTAGAAACTTACACGATAACTGAACTGATTTTCGGCCCATTCCTCGCAGATCAACGTCGGATAAGCCAAAGACCAGTTCCATCGCTAATATGTCCCTAATCAGCGAGGGATCTCCAAGGGAAATGGTTTTTTTGACCTATCCGTCGCTGATTTGTGATATTTTTTTGTTGCTAATAACCATCGTTGATATTCTGTTTTCTAGTGGTGTAAAGTTTGATCCAAAAGTCCTGATAGAAAAATAGATTTAATCAACTCATTGTCTGCTTAATAACATTTATGAAGCATTAATGTTAATTGAATGGTTGTGAGGGCCGGATTTATCAAACTTGCATGCTTCATTGCAAATATGATCATCTCTTGAGTAGATACTAATAGCATAACGTCTTAAAATATGACATGTTTTAATTTTTATTCAGTTTTTTTTTTCCTCAACAAACATGAGAAAATTTCAAGATTTTCGATTTGGTATAACAAACAAAATTTTAAACATTTCTTGTTTTTGTAACATATGGTGACATTAATATCAAGTTTATCATCCACTTCAACATAAACTCGTCCTTATGAAATCTTTCACAAATATATGGGATTCCCATCAACAAATATATATTACAAAAGAACATGTTATCGATTAAATGGATATCAAATAGAAAATTTTAAAAGTTTGTTATATTCATTGAGAAAAACAAATAACACTAAATAAAAATTAAAACAAATTTTGTAGTTGATATAGAAATATTTAATTTTATAATATATATATATATATATATATGTTCAATTTTTTGATGTACTTAGGGTTCATATACCAAGGCTAATAACCGAAAAGAACGTTCCCAATGGAGTCTCCAAAATGGATAATCAAAAATCAAAACCTTCAAAAAAAAAATTACATTCACAATACTAAGCGCTTATTAAGTAATAGTCACCACCCCACTTACATTATCTGGTAAGATTCTTGATATTTACAATACTTTTTATCGGATAAAATACTCAATCATTATTATATTCATCTGATAATATAACTAACCACTTAATGAAATACCAAAAAGATTCTCAATTACTATTCATTGTTGTATTATTTTTTAAACAAAGTGAATATATTTACACTTGGAAAACCTCGTAACAAAGAAACTAACGAATGTAAATCAACACACATAATGGAAAGGATTCTTAAACCCGAGGGTCTTAAGTGCAAACTTTTCAAAGTTTATGGCTTACAAAAGTCGAGTGAAGAAAAGTAGAAGGGGGCAATATGAAACTATTACCATTATATATGTTGAGGGTGAATTTTCAGAAGCATTACTTTGTACTTGGAAACCAAAAAGAAAATCTAGAATGGGAGCTTTGGATCATCTATCAAACATGTTCGATTGTTCAAGTGGAAGTAACAGAAAATACAACAAACGCAAACAACTGCAGGTTAATTCTTACTACTTATACTGTTTCGTTTTCGGATTTGGATCCAGTGATTCCGTGAAGTTTTATGATTATGAAATCATCTTGTAAAAGTCTGCTTTTATTTATTAATTTTGAGATGTCTTTTTTCTTTTTGCAATGATTTGGCTAAAAAAACGAGTAGAAAAAGGAACACAAAAGCGCAGACTTGGATGTTAAAATTAATCTTATATCATTTATCTAACATGTTCGATTGCTCAAGTTGTTTAATTTTATGAAATTATAAAGTTTTCTGAACTATGAAATGATTATAAAGAGGAGTTGAGGTGGTAATATATAGGAAGCATAATGTTATATATAATCATATTATAAATTAAATGATGTTGTTTCAAAAGTCAGAATTATTGAAGACACTTTAATGATGTGTTTGGGGTAGTACAGTGCTCCCAACGAACCTCTAGATATTTTCATATAAAGTAGCCCCTTCAACCATAAGAGAGAAAGAGAGTTGGGTTCATGTGAGACAAAATTGTTTTTGAGACACGATTTTTACACTTGAAACTTCACAACAAAATGTTGTGAAGGTAAAAAAAAGTCGAATCTTCACAGCAAAAACACTGTGAAAGTTACCTTCACAGTGTTTTGCTGTGAAGTTTCAAGTATAAAAATCGTGTCTCACGAAAACAGTCTTGTCTCACATGATCATGATCCCATATATATATATATATATATATATATATATAAAATGAAAAAGAAGAAACTATGAATTAAGAAACCAAAGATGTAGATATTTAAGGTTTTATATGTAGATAAATTCAACATCGTATTTAAGACATTTGGACACATCAAAGAATGATGGGCCTTGGCAATATGTATAACTATGTTTTGTCGCGTATATGGATTTGGATTTAAAACAGATGTCAAGATGTTATTTTTGTTTTTTTGAGTAAAGTTTAATCTTGATCGAGCGTTTGTTCATTTTCAAAGGATTTATCCCTTCGTTTAATAACAATTAAAATTTTCTATTAAATATTTTTTTAGATAGAGGTTTCATATTGGATGTCAATACAAGGTTTTTTTTGGTAAACGACTTTACTGTCACACACCTCAAATACTCTCATAGGGCTTTGAAGAACAGGTAGAAAAATCCTCAGTGACGTTGGACCAAATGTCGAAGCTTTATTGTTAGTGAGCTAATCCTCCGGGTTAAATTTTAAGGTTTGATTACTTAAAAATTAAAGATTGAACAGGGTTAGGAAAATATCTAATCAAATATATTGTATGAAAATGTGGTAAGTTTATTAAGAGCAACAACTCATCCAGTACTAGGTTTTGCAATCAATGATATATACCCATGATGTCTTGGGAAATTTCTAATGTTGGGTTTTTTTCTATAACGTGATAACATAGACGGTTGAGATTAAAGTGAAGATCGATTGCGAGGGATGTGAGAGGAAGGTGAGGAGATCAGTGGAAGGAATGAAAGGAGTGACATCAGTGACCATTGAACCAAAGCTACATAAGTTAATAGTTACAGGGTACGTGGAACCCCACAAGGTTGTGTCTCGTGTGGCTTATCGAACAGGCAAGAAGGTAGAGTTATGGCCCTATGTACCATACGATGTCGTGCAACATCCTTATGCTCAAGGTGTTTATGACAGGAAGGCTCCAGCCGGTTACGTGCGCTACAACCAAGACCCATCCATGAGCCACTTGACACGAGCCACCTCAACCGAGGTTCGGTACACCACGACTTTTAGCGATGAAAACACTGGTGCATGTGCCATCATGTGAGGACTACTGTGGCATATGTGGATACTAAGGCTTTTGCTACTAAGCGTATAATTTGCTTATTACTTTTTGTTCATTGTGGTTTTGGTATTAAAAATAGCTCACAAACTCTATATCTTGTTTTTGGAAATTTTGGTCAAATGCTTATTTAGATGTTGTGCAATTTGGGTGTGTGAACATATGATATGATTAGAGGTTATTTATGTTACTTATTTTTTTATATTCTACTTCTGGTATTTGATACATTTGGTTTAATTTGCATAAATTATCCTAAATACAGACAAAAGGTTTGCTTTTGTTTTTCTTTTTGAAAATTTGAATTAATTTATTTAAATAAGATCTAAAATCATTGTTACATTTATGTGATATATCTGCACTTTTTTAAGTTACTACAATATATATATATATATATATATATATATATAGTAAGATAAGAAACATATATCTAATAAATTGGATGATTTTGCATTTGATCGTTCATATCTATCTATCTATATATATATATATATATATGTGTGTGTGTGTGTGTGTGTGTGAGCGATCAAATACAAACCATCCAATTTGTACAAACCACCTTCATCCGTCGATTTTATTGTTTAATCTTATGAAATTGTTTAATCTTGTGAAATTGTTTCATTTAATATTTTTTTTTTTGATGAAGTTGTTTCATATATGGTTATGAAATTGTTTCATATAATACTTAATGAAATTTTAATGAAACTGTTTCATGTATTTCTCTAGAATTAAAATAATGAAGATAATAATATCTTAACCACATTATTTGTACAAACCGTACAAACCTCATTCAACCAATCATAATTTTTTATTTTGTTCATTTTTTTGTAATTATGAGAGGTTGATTAATCATTTTTATTGTGGAGGGTGTTAATCATTGATATTATCATCTTCATTATTTTAATTTTATAAAAATACATGAAATAGTTTCATTAAAATTTCATTACGTATTATATGAAACAATTTTATAACCACATATGAAACAATTTCATCAAAAAAAGTATTATATGAAACAATTTCACAAGATTAAACAATTTCATGAAAAAATTTCATAAGATTAAACAATGAAATTGACGGATGAGTGTAGTTTGCACAGTTTGTACAAATTGGGTGGTTTGCATTTGATCGCTCATCTCTCTCTCTCTCTCTCTCTATATATATATATATATATATATGTATATATAATTCTGGTTTCCATGAGCAGAGTTCTTTATGTGGATGCGTTCGTTCGTCTTTTAGTTCGTATAAGTTGAACACTTTTAACTAATTTAAGGTTTGTAATTTGTATGTATTCATTGTTTCTACTAAAACTCATTTATACCAAGATAACGTATATGTATACACAATGACTTATCCAATCCAACGCAATAACTTTCAATCAATTACTTCAAAATTAGGTAAAAGAACACACATTATCTCCCAAGGTATTTTCTAGAATTTTTTTGGTTAGAGAAATCTTTTAGGGAGAAATGAATAATTATTTTCTAGATAAATCCTCTGGAAGATGGGTGGTAGTATCGTTACTCGAATTAGATACCACTTTAACACACATTAAAGATACGCTCTTGAGAGCATATTTGGGTAGTTAGAGCAAGACTTTGTTCATCCAACAGTGAGGTTTGATCGATATTTATAAGTGAAGTAACATTTTTTATACTCTTTGTTTAGTTTTATGTGGACATACATGATCATACTGATATTGAAACCACGTTAATTTGATGTTATCTTATTTTGTTTATGATTACATTTCGTTTTCAGATGTTTTTTTTTTCCGTTTTAAACAGTAGATAACATGTACTTTGTTTCGCATTGTTTGTTAGGTTTATGACTGAGCTTGTGAGATTAAGCCAAATTAAACAATTAAGCTAATTATTAAGTTGATTAAACCAAAATTAAGCAAGAAAAACCCTAACAAAATACAAATTTGAAAAGGTACATGCTGACAACCATCCTTTGTCTTTTTCAAGACAAAAAATATCTTCTCCTTTGAGTTGAAAGATGGGGTGTGTGTGACTTATATGTTAAGGGGACCACACCCTTTGGTGGGATTAAGGAATTTTTTGCCAAATTTGTGTGGATCAAAGCAAAACATGTCTTCATCCCAAGATTGCAACTCACCAACTACTGTTTGCAGTTGTGGATTCAAATTATTTTTTATAATTTATGTTCAGATTAATTGGCTTATTACTACTTTTTATCTAGAAAGATTACAGATTCGACTTTTCTCTCTGCTGCTTTTCTTTATGGAAAATATTTGCAAAAGAGACATTAGTCCAATGATTTTAAACAATTTCAGCCATTTTCGATTTTTGTTATAAGATTGATTTTAGAACATTTCAAGGTACGTGTATCTTTTTAAGGTCCATAAATCGTTTTCTATTTAATGAGACAATTGAATGATAGTCAGATCCACCCTTTTTAATGTTGGGTTGTGATATCTTGTAAAGATTTGATTAAAAAAATATAAATGTGAAAGGATGAAAATATATTTGAGCTCTACATCTTATTTGTGGTCTCAATTTGTTTCATATGTTCATCACATGACAAACATCATTACGTTTTAACGTTTATGATACTATATACCTTTTTAATTTTCAATCAAAATATAGTCCTACGGAAATTTGTTTGGACGCATACGGTAATCATTTTTAACTCATATATGAGAATAACTATGTCGGCATTTCACATAATGATTTCAACAAATTTTTATTGGTGGATTTTAAGAGAGAGAGTATTTGGGATATTTTCATTTTAAGTCATTACTCAACTCACTCGAAACTATTCATGTAGCTACCAACTAACACTATAGACCTAACCATGGTTTGGTTAACAACTAACAAACTATAATTACCAAACTAACAATACTCAACAAGAGTAAGGCTCTGTTTGTTTTTACCTAAAGAACACTTAATACCCTCTTATGTCTGAATCGGTCAGACCTTAGGGTATTAAGTGTGTTTGTTTTTTTTTTTCAATTAAAAGCTTAAAAGCTCTGATTATGTCTGAATTATTTAGAGGTAACATTTTCACTTAAAATCTCTTAATTGCTTTTAGAGCTTCCATTGCTTGCAAAGAAAGCCTAGATTTCAATGATTCAGATTTCAGATTTCAGATTTCAGACATAAAAACAAATAGTCTGACTGATTCAGATTTCAGACTTCAGCACCACCTCTTAAAATTCAGAAGTGAATTCAGACTTCAGACTTAAGCACCTCTTAAAAAAACAAACGTCACCTAAGACTTATCTAATATAGATAAGACGATTTTGCTTTTTCGTCTATTAGATTCTAATACTCCCCCTCAGGATCCACTCTAAGAATAGATATTCTTGAGTGTCATCTTGGACAACAAAGGTTGAAGCTTAGATGATGGAAGTGATAAGATCAACTTACAATCACCATCATCAATACAAAATCACCATCATCAACGGTGAATCACAATCCTCAATTCTTAGTGATTCTTGTATCTTTTTGTATGATTGTAATACTATCCTAGAATAGGTTATTCTCTTCTAAAATTAGTATCAAGAAATGTATATAAATACTTCATCTTTTGTTAATAACTAGTTGTGTACCTGCACAATGTGGCGGGAGCCATGAATTTTAACGATTTTGAAGTTCCACTGGTTTTATAAGATAAGATTTAACGATGATATAGGTTACACTTGGTCTTTACATATTAATACAATTTAAATAAATAAAAGTTATGGTTCCAATTACAGACTATATATGAAAAAAATTGTATGACAGTTTAAAATCCAATATATTTAAAATCCAACATATTTAAACGACTCCACAAATGTGTTCGATTTACACCAAGAGTAAAGAACCWAGAAACTTGAGTTTTAAGATAAACACTCAAAACCAATAACGAAAACTACAAATTTGACAAATCATAAGCCATGAAAAGACCAAAAAAGATGGGTTTTAGAATGAAATTTCAACTGCTTACCTTCTTTCTTGTCCAGAAACTCAGATTATGGTTGAATTAGTACATGTATATATATATTTCATAAAAACCCAAGAACATATTAATTCAGAACATATTATACAGTGCAATTTGGACAGCCTAACCCTAAAATGTATAACATATATATAAATAAATAACTATAAAAGTATAAATCGTAAACATTAAAAATATTTTTCACAGTATATAATATATAATAATATAATTAAGTCAAAAACTATTCAATATTGGACTCATTTCGAAGGTATTAACGAGACGATTATAATGGTATAACTTGTTAAAATAAAAATGTATTTTTTAAACATGTTTTAATTGATATACGATTATGTATGTTAATTTGATAAATGTTTAAAATGAAACATTTAAAAGTAAAGGACATAAAGTAATTAATCAACTAATTATAGGGATATAAAATGTAAATTTAAAATTATAATTTTAAAAAAAATCCGTTGAATGTTGAATGTGAGGGGGTGAGTGTATGTGAGGAGAGGAAGGGGTGAAAAAGTGAAAAGAGTATATTGGTCATTTAGTATTTTAAGACTTTAAGACTTTTGCTAAATTTGTTTAATAAGATAGTATAAATAAGAACTTCCTCCATAAATCCTCTATATGGAATCAAAGCTTTAATTCTTAGACCTGTATTTCTTTTTCCTTCCTCTTCCAACCCATGTTTTTTCCCTTGCATTCCAAATGGCAAACTAAAGCAACTCCTCTCTCATTCCCCAATTCTCTTGAACCCACTAAACCTTTCACATCTATCAACATCACCGACTGCATTAAACTTACACCAACAAATTACATCTCTTGGAAAATACAAATTGAGGCTATTTTCATCGGCCATGATCTCCAAACTTTCATTGATGGCTCAAAGTCTTCCCCACTAAAAACTATTCTTGTCAACAACGTTGAAACTCCTAACCCAGCGTACCAAACATGGGTTCGAAAAGATAAACTACTCTTCGGTGCCCTCAGCAGTACACTCTCTCATTCTCTTGTTACTCTTGTCTCACAAGCCACTACCACTGAAGATATGTGGTACATCATTGCCCAAACCTATGCAAAACCTAGCCGTGGCCACATAAAATAACTCAAAGACCAACTTCACAAATAACCAAAGGAAACCACTCTATAACTGACTACATACAGTCCCTCAAGGCATGTCCGGATCATCTCGCCGCCCTT